GCCCCTGCCCCAACCCCGCACCCCCGCCCCCGCTGCCAGCCAACCCCGGCCCCGCACCCTGCTGGGCCCCGCCCCCGGCCCCGGGCCCGCACTACCCCGGGCTCACGAGGGTGGGGTGTAGCCGCGGGGGGGCCCCGAGGTCGGGCCAAAACTGCAATGTTGCAGTTTGGCCCAGGGGGTGCAGGCTGCTGCTGCGCACCCCCCTGTATTTATTTATTTATTTTATTTTATATATATTTTAACTTTTTTTATCAGGGCCAGGGGTGCCGACCCCCGGCCCCCGGGACCCCCGTCGGGGCCTCGGGGCCGGGGCTCAACAACCCTGGTCGCCGCAGCCAGTCCGACCGCGACTACTCTCGAGAGCATCGCAAAGTTTGACGGACTGTTGATCTTCTGCGATACAACGAAGACAGACCCGATCCCATGGTGGCGGCAGTTTGAGTTGAAGTTGGACATTCACCACGTCATCAACCCGAACCGGCACGCATACTTATACTCCCGCTCAGGGGGCGCGTGCCAGGCATGGCTGGACAACATGTTGTCCACGCACAACGTCGCAGTCTCCGAGCTGCATACGAAGATCAGCTGGGCTGATCTCAAGGCAGCATGGCATAAGCGGTTCCAAGTGGAGCCGCCCAAGCTTAAGGCAGTCGAGAAACTTCAACGATTCTATCAGAACGACCTGCCAAGCATGGATTGGATAACCGAGTACCAACGCTTGGCATCCACGCCCAACTTGCCGTTGACATTTATCGCTATCAAACCGAAGACACACACCAATCCATCCCCTGGGGCCGGACCAGCAGCTCAAGAGCCTTGGACAAATTACGGTATCTCGAAAGGCGTGTACGGCATCCGTACTAAGTACAGATACTGCTTGTGGTACAACAGCGCGGTACACAACACTGCAACGTGCCCCACGCAAGTCAAAGGCAAATTCCCTTCGGGAAAGTGAGCACCACCGAGAGTGATGCATCTCCACTCTCGACGCCTTCGAATTCGGTTGCTTCGCAAGAGGAAGTAGACAGTCCTCTCTTCTATTCTTATGAAGTTATGAGGACTATGCTGCCCGACTCGTTCCTTCGCTGGGTTCTCAAGCTTAAGGACAAGATGTGTGTGCGGCTTCTTCTCCAATCGGCAACAGCAACAATGAATCGTCTTCAAGTGGTTCTTCAAGGGATTCGACGCACGAGTTCAACATAGAGGCTATGTGACACCTGCGGCGGCATTTCCGCCGCTGAGGCCGCGGCCACGGCCGATGAGGCCCACTCCGCGGCCTGGTTTTTTAATATATTTTTTTTACCCTTAAAAATACGTTTAAAAAAAACAAAAAATATAAGGGTGTAGGGCTTGAAAAACCCTACAATCCTATGTTTTTTTATTTCGGAATCCGACTTTGTTTAAGATTTCTAAGAAATGAAAAACGAAATTCGATTTAAACAAAATATTGAAAAAAAAAAAAAAACACCAATTTTTTTTTGGCATTTTTTATCATGAGGGATATGGTCCCTAAGTTGTGCTGTATATTTTTTTGAAATGATTTTCGTTTTTTTGTTCGGAAACTAGCTGTTTAAAAAAAAAATGAAGATGCAAAAATTTAAAACAAATCAACAAAAAAAACGGGTCAGGCAGGGGTTGGTGT